ATGGGGGCTAGCTTGGGGCAGTTAAGTCGTTTAAATAGGGTGCAAACCCCTGAAACTTAGGGTTTCATCCAACAGCGGCGACTCGTTGAGTCCAGGATATGGACTCGCCGAGTCGCCAACTTAAAACGTGACCTGGGTCGCGTCTCTACTCGGCGAGTCGGACCTATGACTCGCCGAGTCCAAGGCTAAGATAGGAAATATTCTAATAAGATTTACATACCAGAAACCAGGTGCTACAGAAGCCTTTCAATGCTTCTTATATGACATTTAATCGTATTTTAACAGGAAACCACACAGACACTTCTTGGTCTCTCTTTATTTCAAAGGAAGAAATCTTTGCTCGGGATTAACATGTGACAACCCGATATTTCAAGACAATGAAATGTAACACCAGTCAAATATAGGTAAAAATTTAACTTTCTTAAAATCTTATTTGGGTTAAACAAAGTGGTAGGAATCGTATCAAGGTTTTCGTGCATATAAAGAACACTAAAATCCGAGTTATAACGAAGAAGTTATGACCAATCTAAGATTCGTAGCGAAAATCGGCAACACTGATAGACGTAAAACGCGAAGTTTCAATACAATAATTTTTAGCCTTATGTATCTAAATGAAAGTTTTAGATATCCCAAAACTGTAAGCATACCTAAAAAGAATGCCCAGATCTGACTTCATAGTAGGAAGTTATGATTTTTTCGAAGTTTCAGACATAACAGTAGACAGCTAAAAACTCAAAATCGAGATCGAGCGGATTTTGCCAAAATGACCTAAATGATAATCGAAGATCTCATCAATGGTATTACAATGGTAAAAATTCTGGCGAAAACAGACAGCGGATGAAGGAATTATGAAATTTTAACGAACTTTTCCTGTCCCAGCCTATTAAAAATATAATATTAAAAATAAACACAAAATTAGCCGACGAAGTCTAAACAAAAGTTATAGATCGTAGTCTCACCTACGCGTGGATATAAAGAACGTTGAAAACAGAGTTCGTATGACGAAGATATGAATTTTTGAAGTTTATTAATAATTAAAATATTTAATTTAATTAATATCCGGTATTATCTGAAGGAGGAGTCATCGGACCAATCTAGGCTACGGTTCGTCCACGTCGCTCCGATGCTTCGACCGAGGATGCGGTCATCCATGACGTCGCGTACGCCCCGCGTACAAGCGTACGCCCAGTGTACGCGAGGCTTTCAGCCTCTATAAGAAGGATGCGAGGGTGCCGGCCATATTTGCTAATTTCCCTCCCTTCCCGCGCCGAAGCTCTGCGTTTCAGCCCTCGGGGCCACCCCAAAGTCCCGGTTTACATATCCAAGCTCGGAAGGAAGTTTTACGCCCTCGAGATTCCTGAGAATCTCGAGAGATCCGCTCTCTCGAGTAGAAGTTCTGCTCGGTTTTCGTCGCACTTTTTTCAATCAATCAAGTGAGTTCATACCCCTATAAACTACACTTTTAAATATTTTATAAATACTTTTATATGCTTTTAAAGGGGGGAATACAAGTAAAATACTCGATTATTATCGTGTGTTATATAATAAAGTTTCATTATACGTTTTTTATCAACGGAATCATATGTGATTTATAACAATTATAGGGAAACTTTCGTATGAAAAATATATCATGATAACATCATAACTTTTGACATGAAAAGTGTTGTTATATATATAAATCAAACACTCTGCTTATACGGTATGTATCTGTGTCCATCTTTGGTACTACAAACATACGATTAATTTGGCACGAAAAACATCAATCTTTTGTGATACTTGCTGTTAATAAATCAATCATATGGGATTTATAACTAGTATACAAATGGATTTACTACAGGTTTAGCAGTTTTACTAAACATATTACTTCAAATGACTTTCTTAAACGTTTTTACATGATTAAAGCTCTTTATCAAACTGTCTTACACACTGTAAGCTTCATTTCAAACTCGGTTACAAAGGTGTTTTCAGATAGTGGTTTTCCGTATAATTAAACTGTCTTATCAAACAAAATACTTTCAATCGTTTTATAAACTAGCATCAAGTCACAAATTCTTTATTAGACTTTCCAACGGTTTCACAAAACTTCTTTTATGCTTTTATATTATAAATTGCATGCCTCTATATGTATAGTTATATAAGAAATGTTTAAAAGACTTAGGAAGGTTATCCACCCTGTTTCCTTTTCCTCGATTTGGATGTGGTCTGGTGGGATATCGGGTACCTGTCCAAAGGTCGTTTAAATATAGTTATATATCATGTGTACATATATAGTCATAATTGTTCCATCAGTTAATTCTATTATGACGCTCTTGGGTAGCAAGGGTGTATAAATCTACTTGGACACTCATCAATTACATTCTAGTAAACTATTATAGGAATAGTTTAGGGGATACAAAACATTATCCCTATTACAAGAAATTACACCAGAGTTAGTTCATTCATGAGTCTAGACTACATGCTATATGAAGGGATACTCTTACAGAGATTCCTCTTACATGGATATATTTATAGGGATACTCTTACATAGATACGCTTACATGAGTACATTTACATGAATACTTTTACATGAATACTGTTACATGAATACTTATACATGAATACACTTACATAGATACGCTTACATGAGTACGTTTACATGAATACTTTTACATGAATAGTTTTACATGAATACTTACAAATGAATACTTTTACATAGATATTATATGGCAAATTACTATTACATATTATATGTCTAGATACTGTTATATAGTTCTCCTTTCTACCTTTACCTTGTGATACAATCACATCATCGACGAGATAGATTGGACTTTATATCCTAGTACCAAAGGATACTTTACGGGATTAACCATTCCTAGAATCTCTGTTAGCTATAGAGGTAAATTCACATCCACGGATGTCTTCGGTTGATACCATTACAGGTATACTTTAAGGGACTAACTATTCCTACACCCAGCTGTTAGCAACAGAGGTAAATGTACATCTACGGATGTCTAAAGTTAACACTGTTAGTTATCCTAGTATAAAGGGATAATACGTAAGTTAGTTATATTATTACCATTATCTTGTGACTCATCCACATAACCAATGAGGTGAATCGTATTTGAGTATCCTAGTACCAAAGGATACAATTTCTTATATTAATAATAATTGTCGAACAGTCGGGTCTTGGTAGAAGACTACTTTCAAAACAGTCGGGTCTTGGTAGAAGACTACTTTCAAAACAACTAGGTCTTGGTAGAAGATTTCATCTATACTAATAGGAATCATAGGGATTTCTAGGGTTTACCAAACGGTTTCGATTACTTACAAACATTTCCACACTTATACGAACTTTCTTTCAGAACAATATCAAGTCTTTCATTACAAGTTTTACAAATCAAAAACACATTAATACTTATGAATTCACCAGCTTTTTGGCTGATACTCACTTTCAAAATAACTTGTATTCTCAGGTCGCAAATAGACAGGTACGACGACCAGGTTTTTGGTGAAGACGGAGCAGTCCAAACTCGTCTTATTTTCTGATTATTCATTTTATTGTTGTATATTATGAAAGAACACACTTGTAATTAAAATTATACTATTAATGAAATGGATGATGTTGTTGCTTGTTTACTACTTTACATTGTTGTGATACATTACATGACGTCCTCTGCCCCAGAACGTTTCCGCCATTCTCGGTTTTGGGGTGTGACATAACAGATTTATGTCATCATGTAAACATCACACACTTTCCCAGATATACTTGATTTATTTCTTTATCTTTGACACTCTTGCATAAAGACACTTATGATCTTCCAAAAGTCTTGTTCCTGGTTCTCTATCATTTCTTTCAGGTTTGCAGTTTAATATGAGATTTCAAAAAGGCGAAGATTCATAAGAGTTGAAAAAACGAATATTTAACTGCGAAAGGTGGATCATGAAGAGGCAAATTTTGATGATAATAATTCAAAAAGGTGCGTGCAGAATTTGAAACGGCCAACTGTTTTTCCACCGCATGACGCACGGATCTGACATCTACAGTTGTCAAGTTGCGCTTTTTCAGGCGACATTTCAGTAACCGCTTCTTTCTCTCTCCAAATTTTCCTCACAATTTGAATACTATATAAAGATTTTGACGGTTCAAATCTCATTATCACTTTCAAGATCTTCTACAAAAATATTTGGCAAACAAATCGCTCTCTACTATTCATCATCTTCTTCAAACCTACAACAATGGCGACTTCATCATCCTTTCAAGATCAAACCGTTCATTCTTCTCTAATGGCAGTCAAACCCAATCAAAATCTTCTGATTGATCTGAATCCTTGCAAATATGAGTCGTATCTTCTATACATGATCGGGTGTCTCAAGTATTCATCATTGGTTCATGCTCTAACCAAAATGGAGGATGTTCCAATGTCTTTTCTTTCAAAGGCCTATTCTTCTGCAAGCTACATCAGAGTGGAGAATAAGATCATATTTGACATTGATGATCAGAAAACCTCCATCACCAAAACCATATTTTGTTCCCTTGTAGGGCTCCACAGTCAGAGGATATGATTAATCCTGAAACAATCTCCAATGTTGCTCTCCTGGAGATGTTTTATCAAATGGGATACAAGGAGTCTTAGTCTACACTTTCAAAATTCCTCAAGCCCAACCTTCATCCTTAATAGAACGCTTTATTCACGATCTTGTTCAAAAGCTTTTCTGAAAGAATTACAGGATCCGACTGTGCAAGTAAGTTATTTATGACCATCATCTATGGAATCTACACAGGGATGAACATCAATTATTGAGTCGTTCTATGGGCTCATCAAAGCACTATCTCCTCGTCTCGTTATACGGAGATCTCTTGTGCAAGGTTTTGGTCTCTAATAGTCCGTAGGGCCATTGTTAAGTATAACATTCCCCTGATGTAGAATGCCCTTGCCTTCACAATTTCCACCCTTCATACAACAGGGATTATTGTTACCGATCCATCAAAGTTCGCATTTATTGGATCTATCACTAAAGTTATGTTTCGAGATGTTCCTGCTTCAAGTAAACTCTTGGAAGGCTTTCGCAAAATTATACCTTCGGGGTTTAGGCCACTTACTCCAGAAATGCAGGTAGTTCTTGATACCGCTGACAAATTGAAGAAGGGCGGAAATGGGTTAAAGAAAGAGGTTAAGAAGGATGGTTCTTCTGAAGGTCCCTCTGGTGCCACAAAACCTTCTCCGAAAAAGCGAAAGGCACCCTCAGAATCTTGTACAACTGCTCCAAAATGAAGAAAACAACCAGCTCGTAAGCGGAAGACTCCTACTCCCTCAGCAAGCGAAGACTCAGATTCTGAGACCGAGTCAAATGTTCGTGTTGAAACAAATCAACCAATTCGCAATGAGGAGGAAATACTGGTTTGTTATGAAGAGGCAGAGACAGTTCACAATCAAGAGCCTCCAATTCATAATGAAGAAGATACTATGAACCGAGAGGTACTTTAATCTGGTAATGAATTAGTTCCTTCTCATCCTCCCTCTCCAACAACAACCTCCATTCTTATTACTATTGCTCCATGTCCAACCCCTGTCATCTTATCTCGACCTACAACAGTTCCCATCTCAACACCAATCTTAACCACTTCAAGTACCAATATCATCACTTCATTGATTCCTGAGGTTACAGTCAATGTATCTGATATGGGGGCCACAACATCATTGTTCACTACCCCTGTTTCTTCATCTATTTCTCCTATTCGTAATGATGATCTAGAAATTATATTTGTTGATGCTGGTGATGAAGATGACCTAGGAGGATTCACTTATAGTCCATTCTAAATCAGGACTGACAGTGAAGATAAAGCCTCAATTTCCAAAGGTCAGCTGAAAGTTATTAATGAGAAGCTTGATCAACTGTTGCTAGCCTCCAAGTCCTCTTTTTATGATGCATATTCAAAAGCAGCGGTTGAATCCTTATTTGAGAGAATAACGAATGAGCATGAAGAAAATGCTAAGAAGATGAATGCATCGGTTTTTGAATTTGCTGAAGTCTGCAAATCTACCACCAAAAAAGTCAATAAACTAATTTCTGAGATGACCAATTTCATGGAAACTTATAGAACGAACTACAAAAACAATATAGCCTCTGTGAATGAAGCCCTTCGGAACTTAGGGGCAATGTTTAAGACTGAGAAACTCAATCTGAAGAAGGTTTGCTCTAAGCTACAGCAAGACCATGCATCGTTCCAAATATCCCTTACTTCTCATATTACAAAGCTTCAAGATGAATTGGCGATGGAAAGTAACATCATGGATGCCCTTGCGAGGAAGACAGAAAAGGTCAAGGTGTTAGATACTAAACTTCAACAGTTTGAGAAATGGGTCTAGGATTTGTTATCAGAGAAGGCGGCAGTGCGAACTTGCATTAATGATGTTACCAGTTTGCTCTCTGATATCATTGAGACTAGGGACTCAATGATCTTTATTATGATTCGAAAACACCTTGCTGATAAGTTAAGCCCTGTCTTCGCAATGTTATATCAGTTGTAGGGTGTTTCTCCTCAGTCTTCTGAATATAAACAAGGGGGAGAAGGTGCATCAAAGGTTCAACCTCAGAAAGTCCTTGCCAAGCCCATTATCAAGAATGAACCTAAGGGCAAGGAAAAGTTGATTGAAGAAGAGCTGATTATTGATGATGATAAAGATAAAGAGCCTGATGAAGCTGAACTTAAAAGGCGGAAGGTTTGCGGTGTTGAACTTAATGAAACTCAACGAATTGTCAAAGAGGCTGAAGAGAAAGAAAGAGCAGAAAGGGAAGCTCAGGCCATTCTTAAGAGCAGAATGTTATTATTTCCAAAGTGGACCTTGAAGAAAAGTCAGCATGATGTTGTGGAGCTGCCCAGTTAATATTGGTTAGATCCTATTGCATCTTTTGATCATCAAAATACTCAAGATTCACAACTTGATCTTCCAATCACTCCAAAAGCATTCAGGTTTCGTGCTTTTGTGAAGGTTGTGAATGCTCCTTTCACAGATAGCAATGTTGATCATATGCTCTTCTCTTTTTACTTAAAGCACATGAAGCCCTAGTATGAAACCTAGAGTGCACACAAAATCATTGTTGTGAAGGTCACTGGGCCAATCGAGACTGAAAGCTTCCCGAATGCGAAGTTTAAGGTTGCAAGAGGGTTAGCATGTCAGGCCTACGAATTCACTCTCGCAGACTTGCCTTGCTTAACTCCTAATGACTGGATCATTCTTTACAACATGTTGTTGCGATAAAATGATAAGTATGAGCCTGTGACGTCCTATCTTCAACTTATGATCAAATCGTATATTCAAGAAGTTGGTTCGACAGATGTGGATATTCCCAAAGTTTTGAAGAAGAAGCCAACGGATGTTCCCAGGGAAGCTCCGAAAGACTTGGAGAAGTTAAAGCCAGGGAGGATATACAAGGAAGGATGGTTCGTGGTGTATCAGTACAGAGAATGAACGGGAGCAGACTTTCGCAAGTCATACTTCTATATCGAAGACAAACATCTCTACAACATTGCTTGTCTGGAATTTATATTGGACCTGATCATCAAGCTTAAGGGCAACCATCACGATGATGTCAAGTGCTTTTTGGATATGATTTTATGGTACATCAATGTTCGCAAGATGCTGTTGAGCTTTATTACAAAGATTTATGAAGTGCAGAAGCGAATCACTGGCTGATAGGCTCCAGTCTCCATTGACGCAAAGGGGGAGATTGTTCAGTATTTATGTGTTGCGTCATTAGGCCTTATTTTAGTCCTTTTGTAAATGGTTTGGGCCTATCCAACTGTATTTAATATTAGGGTTAGAGTATATATGGTGCAGGCATGCATCTTTTATAGTTAATTGTTGAATTGATAATTTTGTAACCCTAGCATGTCTCTACAGTAGCAATTCTTCATAGAGTTCTTCTGAGGTCGTACCTTTTAATCATTTGACACCAGTTGATACATATTGTGTTCTTGTTTTCTTAATTGTGCTTATACTATACTCGTTAGACTCCAATCGATCTAAGAGGATTTTATTCCTAACATTATTTTATCTTTTCTTCTAACGTGACCTAGGTTTAGTTATCACTAAATCTTAGTTTATCATTTCTTATGACTGATAATGGTCTAGATTCTTCACTAATCTCAATTTCTACATCAAGATCTATCAAGTAAGGAATAACCAGGTAAGATCATATCGGAGGTAGGGTCCATTTGGTATACAAAGTATACTGTTTGGAAATCTCACTTTAAACACCTCAATAAATCTAGCCTAAACAACATCCCTATAAGTAGATCAATCAATATAATCACTTTGGAATCACCGATAAATCTTAATTATAGGTTCATAATAATGACTATGACTATAATGAAAATTTACACCTGAATAAATAAGTATAGCTTACTTCCAGAGCTTTCTGATGAAAACCGGGAATTATGCAGGTAGAACTCTGATCTGAGAGCTTCTATTCATCAGCTACCTAACACCGCAGAGCTTCAAGGAATATCAAGGCTTCGCTGAACACTAAAACTAAGGGAAATATATAGCTAAAGCAAGGAGAACTCGAGAGAGAAACTTAAGGAAGGTTTGAAATTTGAATGAGACACTGCAGGGTATTTATAGCCAAAATTGGAGTGCACGTCGCCAAATAGTCAGTGTGCACCACACACTTGGTCGGAATGGGTGACGTGGCTCCATCCATTGTGTGACACATTTCGCAATCTCGTGGCTTGTCAGATGCACATTGTGCATGTTGTCGTTGCGCGCGGGTGCACGCGAAAAATTATATTTTCTTTAAATTTTCATATCCTCTTCGTACGAGCTCCATTTTCGACGCGTTTTATATCCATGCATAGCTATCGACAAGGTTTGCAACTTCCATTTAAAATCCATCGGCTATTTTTGACTTAATTTTTAAAGTTATATTTTTAACAGACTTAGACTGTTAAAGTCCATTAAAAATACATAAATCTCTCGTATGGTATCCATTCTCGACTGTCTTTATATCGACGGCTTGGTATTGATGAGATCTTAAACTCTCATTTTGATTGGTTTTCCTAACAATCAACCTATTTTGATTTTGGTTTCTGAATCGTATATTGCTACGCGGAAACTTCTAAAAATCATAACTTCCTCTCGCAAAGTCAAATTTAGGCATTCTTTATATGTACAGAATCATTGTCACATATTCTATAACTTTGTTTAAAATTATTTATCCTAAATAATCTTCTATCAAAAAGTCATTTTTATAATATATTAATTGAATAGCCTGAATTTGAGGGTGTTACATTAAGCATAAAATTAAAATGACAAAAAATGAATGATAAGCATTATTTTATTACTTTGTAACATTAAAGCTTTGCTAACATCAAGAGATATAATTGCACAGCTTGATCAATAACCGAATAATACTATGACAAGCACAGAGACATCCAAAACACACTAACATAGATGGATACCATTAATAATACAAGAGAACATCTTGAATGCGTTTAGAGAACATACCAGCAACAACAATGGGCGTTGGGTCAACACCATCTTTCCTATGAATTAATTAAAAACTAAAGGAACTAGAGGATTTTAAGTGTAATTATCTTGATTCAAATTGATAAGTAATCATTCTTTGATTTAAGGGACAAGTATACCAACTTTAAGGGGATAATGAGTACAAATAAAACCCTTATCCTTAGGTATTACATCAGCAGAAACTTCCTATCATCTTTAACTCATTCTTTACGTTTTTAAGAGGAAATTTAGAAGTCCTCATCTCTAATAGGTTTGCTTCGGTTTTATGCTATAAGAAACAAGAATGAGTTGTCTCAAGTTGCTACATCATTTCTTGGGGTGCGATCACATCATAGGAACTCTGGTTTGGGTTGATTTTGATCAAAGGCCTCAAAGGTATGTGATTTAAACTCTCTTAGTTTAATTGATTATGCTAAAAGGTTACTAGAACAAGAAGGTTTTGATCAAAGACTTCAAGGGTATATTATTTAATCTCTCTTAGTTTATTTATGTTGCTAAAATGTTACCAGAATAAGATATGGTGAGATATGATGATTAAGTTTTATTATTCATGTTTTTATTGCTTTGTGCTATAGAGTTCATCATAATCCAAAAATTGGTATCAAGACCAATATTCGATGGTTTTAGCACATTATAAGTGAGTTTTCATAAAGGAGTTCTTTATGGGATGTGAATTCATACATATAAAAATTCTGCATTTTGTTCATGTTTTCAAAAAATCATAATTAGTTCTATAAAAATCCTTTAAATGTGAGGTCAACGTTATTACAAAGGAATGAAAGTATAATTTCTTCAACTTTTAAACCTTATAAATTGATTTTGATGTTAAAATGAGCTAGCAATGCAATTTGTTTAGGGCTATCAAGATGAACTAAACAGCTTGTTTTTCGTAAAAATCAAGCTATTGTTTTTCGTAAAAATCATATAAAATCATTGGAGAATAAAAAAGACATAAGGTCAATAGCATTTGAAATATATAAGAAAATACTATATTTCATATTTAAAATTGAAGGATAAATATGTAATTATGTTGGTAGAAAACATCTGCAAACAAAAAATATATATATAAAAATAAGAATACTTATGACAAATCAATTATAAATCAAATAGTTTTGATTTGTTTTTTTCTTTTGTGTATAAATATAATATTTAGATGGTTTTTGCATGTAACCCATAAAAATAATTGTATATGATATGCTCACATGTTTATATTAAATTAAATTTTAACGACATCATAACTAGTAAAAATAGAAAGTGTATAGTTTATTGTTTGGACCTAATTATATATTGCCTTACTAGATCCATACGTGTGATGTTTGGTTAGTTGTTTGGGGTTTTTAATTTGTAGTTTTTGCCAACTTGTGTGTCGTTTCATTTATTATCTTGTAATGCAATTTCCTTTTAATTATAGTAAAGATTAGTTAGAAAAATATATTAGTTCATTTAATGTAATGAATGAAAACTGAGTACTACCAAGTAAGGACCATAAAGATTGGAGTCACATGAAGTTCTACTCAAGACATAAAAAGTTTATGGCAAAACCAAGCATCCTTGTGTGTTGATTGCTCCAAATATAACCTCCTTTTTCTGCATAGTTGATAAAATAAAATTAGAAACATAAATTTTAAAAGTTAACAAAAGTTTGCAAGCAAAAATTGGCAATTATAAAAGAAATTTTAAAGTTTTAAAATGATCATTTACCAAACGAAATAGTTAAAAATGTTTTAACTAAATAAAGAGAATAAAACATATTTTTATAAAAGAAATGCAAATCACATGCAACCCATAAAAACAGACACTTAACTATAGACTATCAAGGTGGGGAAGTGCTTGTAGACAACACGTCAGGATTGGTGACCTATTTAAGGAACTAGCTTTTAGGGTTGCCTCATTTGGTAGCCTCCATTCTGTGAGAACAAACCCTCACCTAAAACCTTAGCCTTTTGTATGTGATTTGAGTGTGTAAAGTCACTTTGTGAAGGTTGAAGGAAGAATAAGCTCATCTTTGTGGTTGTACACTTGATTCCAAATTGGATCTTTCATATTCACTTTATCCCTGATCTTCTGGAGGTATGAAGTCTTCACCTTTCTTATCATATCATGTTAGATCTAGGTTTCTACCCACTTTTATCCATGTTGGGTTGACTTGAGTGCATAGATTCTATACAGTTGGCACCTTTATGGATTATTGAGGTCCCTTGGTGGACATATTGTTAAGACCGCTGTCATACACGATTTAACAAATAAAAATATAAAATAAACTGCTTTATTGCACTAACAGGTAGTATAGGTAAGCAGTGTCGGATCCTCAGGGACACATCCTAACATTTACACCTCTTTGCGTAAGATATGAACTAATTCTTGATGAATGCAATAAACATAAAAAGGGGGGTTTTATTTCTGAAAATTAAACTAATAGAAATTGAAAATGACAAGAAAATGACTAAATTTAAAGTGATAAAATCCAATTAAGAGAAAGCAATTCCAGTTCCGCGGTGACTCCCCAAATCGTGTAATTAACCTTCAACGCAATATTCGACTATGCACTTGTTTAAACTGGTACTAAGGTTCATTAACAAGCTCTAATGACCTTTCTTAAAAAAATCATTTAATCAAAATAAGCTCTTTGAATTAAATCTAACTTTTTACTAAATTAACCAAACAAGCTCTTGACTAATAAAGAAAAGTTGCATTAGACACAGTGTAATTCCTAGTAAAGTTCAATACCTCTCATAAGCTCGGAGGCATTAAAACTTGTTTGATCATTTCACATTAGAGTTAACCCTAAATGCAGAATTAATCTAATATATGTCACTTTTACTAATTAATCTAGACAATTACAGATCTAAACAATCAGATGACTAGAATGACTCACAAACAATTTAGTGGCCAACGGAAATTAAAATCAAATTAAACACTCAATTTAACACATAATTGATCAAACTAAATAGTAATCATAGTCAAACACAGTGCCTAATGATACACAAGGGCTGTTGGGTAACCTCTTGTGCTGCCTACTCGCGGAGAGTCTTTTCAGCTTCGTCTCCGTTTTTGCTCATGATGGATTCTGTTTTAGTTGTTCGGGTTTTTTTGAAGATGATGATGAGTATGTTTTAAACGGACTGTGAACGGGTGAGGTAGGTGGTGCTTTTGGAAAAGGTTTAAATGAAGGTTTAGGTTCGTTCCACAAGGGAGTGCCTAGTGGTGTGGGTGAGGTTGAGGTTCCTGTTTGTTGCTTTCGAAGTTTTGCCTCCTTCTTTAGCTTCCTAGCAGTCTTCTCAATCTCTGGATCAAAAATCAGATTACCTGTATGTGAAAATCTTCGCATAAAACTATTAGTGTTTTACCGTGCCCCCGGCAACGACACCAATTTGTTAAAACCGCTGTCGTACACGATTTAACAAATAAAAATATAAAATAAACTGCCTTATTGCACTAACATGTGGTACAGGTAAGCAGGGTCGGATCCTCAGGGACATGTCCTAATGTTTACACCTTTTTGCGTAAGATATGAACTAACTCTTGATGAATGCAATAAACATAAAAAAGGGGAGGTTTTATTTCTGAAAATTAAACTAACAAAAATTGGAAATGAAAAGAAAATGACTAAATTTAAAGTGATGAAAATTCAATTATGAGAAAGCAATTCCAGTTTCGCGGTGACTCCCCTAATCGTGTAATTAACCTTCAACACAATATTCGACTATGCACTTGTTTAAACTGGTACTAAGGTTCATTAACAAACTCTAATGACCTTTATTACAAAAATCATTTAATCAAAATAAGCTCTTTAAATTAAATCTAACTTTTTACTAAATTAACCAAACAAGCTCTTGACTAATAAAGAAAAGTTGCATTCGACATAATGTAATTCCTAGTAAAGTTCAATACCTCTCATAAGCTCGGAGGCATTAAAACTTGTTTGATCATTTCACATTAGAGTTAACCCTAAATGCAGAATTAATCTAATATATGTCACTTTTACTAATTAATCTAGACAATTACGGATCTAAACAATCAGATGACTAGAATGATTCACAAACAATTTAGTGGCCAACGGAAATTAAAATCAAAATTAAACATTCGATTTAACACATAATTGATCCAACTACACAGTAATCATAGTCAAACACAGTGCCTAATGATTATCATACGAAAAGGTTACGTCTTGCGAAACTGAAATATGAGTTTTTAGAATTACATGGCTAAAAACATATTACAAACAGTGGAAATAGAATCTAAATGATAAATCTTACTAAACTATGAATAGGAATCGAATCGTCTCCTTTAGATATGCGTTCTTCACTTGAAAACCTCTGAAAATCGCCAGCAATCGCCAATTAGGGTTACTGGAAGAGTATGGGGTTGTATTTATATGTCTAGCTGGCAAAACACAGTACCTGCGATCGCAAAGGGACAACCTGTAATCGCAGGTTTCACTCGAAACAAGTCACAGGACATTTTAATGAAGTACGTTTCTATTTCGATGCAAATTGGCCAACCTATGATCGCAAGGGCATAACCTGCGATCGCATGTAATACTTTTCCTAAGCTGATGAATTTTTTTGGCTCGACAAAACCTCGAAGGCAACTTGCGATCGCAAAGGCATACCTACGATCGCATATTACTTCTTTTTGGCTCTTTTGATCGTCGTTCCTCCTTCCAAGCAGTTCTTGATCCTTTCTCGGCATCCCTCCTTGGTCTAGACTACAATTAAGCTCCAAAGCATCCACAAAAGCATCCCGAACTTGTGTAATCATCCATGTGCTCCAAATGACCCTGAAAAGTCGTAACAAACATGAACAATACGGGGCATTCTTCAAAATAATCATGAAACACAAAATACATAAGAATAATCGAGAGTTAGTTAGCTTTTTATAATCAAATATGTAAGAAATTGGGCTTAAAGATGCATATAAAATGCATCTAACACATATGTTCCAGATATGAAGTTTGTTGGTGTAACGATTTATTTGATCAGCTCCAGGGTGCATCTTGGTTTTCCAAGATTGATTTGAGATCATGTTATCATCAGATGAGGGTTAAGGATAAAGAAGTGCAGAAGACAGCCTTTAGGACTCGCTATGGTTACTATGAGTTTTTGGTGATGCCATTCAGGCCCACCAATGCATCGACAATGTCCATGGATCTCATGAATTGGGTGTGCGGGCCGATGTTGGACCGGTCTGTGATAGTGTTTATGTAACACCCTAAAAATAAAGTCCAAAAATTTCGTTTTTAAATCATTAATAAAACCATAATTCATCCATCATAATAAAGAAAATCAAGAACCATGTATCTCAAAATATACTGTCAAATATTGTATCAAAATCAAATTAGAAAACACTATAGTCTAAGAAATTCCCAGGCGGAAACTGCGGTGTGTGCCATGCGATCATCCCGAGCCCTTCCCTTTTCTAGTGGAAGTACCGGAAACCAAAACTAAAAACTGTAAACACAAAGCTTAGTAAGCTCCCCCAAACTACCACATACCATACAATAACACACACTGGGCCTTGCCCACTGCATCGGGACCCCGCCCAACATTGGACTAATCCGGTAACGGGCCCCGCCCGACATCAGACCGAAGTCCAGAATACATATCATATCAAAGCACATAACATATAACATATACACATAATGGACCGCTGTCGACCACCACTACCCGAGGTGGCAGCGGGTGGTGTCTGATTTACACACACACACATACACACACACACACACATATATATATATATATATATATATATATATATATATATATATATGTATATAATTAGCTAATTAACTAACTTATGAGTTGTAAACCCTAATTAGGGTTTAGAATACCCTAATGTCATGAAACTGTAATTTTGAAGTTAGCGGGACCCACATTGAAACTACTTATTGGACTTAAAATATTAATTAATAATCCTTTGAAATTAACTTAACATAATATTGGGATTAATAAATTAAGTCCTTAATGGGTTAAGTGTTTTTACTTAACACTAATGGTCATTTTATGTGAAAACCCTAATTTTGTTTGGGCCTTAAGTTGGGCCTTTTGGTTAGGCTTTGGTGATTGGGCTATTGATGGGCCATCCAAGAACAAGAATATGGACTAGAATATTTTGATGGGCTTTAGGGTAAGGCCCATGTGAAGGGTTTCGGTCCAATTTAGATAATTAGGTTATAGATGGGCCATATTGGGCCTTGATGATTATGAAATATTAGACCATCAGAATGTCAAATGTTTGCTCCTTAAGGTAAGACCATGTATAGGTTTGGGCCCAATTTGGAAAATTGATTCATATGTTGGGCCTTGATTTATTATTTGGCTTTTGGGCTTCCAGAGTTTGAATTTGGGCCTTGGCCTTGGACCAATCTTTTTACCCGAAGTATGGACTTATGGTTATGCATTGGAACCCGATTGTTAATTCGGTTTTGTTTTGACGATTGACAGTTCGGGGATCTGTCAGCCAACAGCCATAGATTTATTCGTGGGACTTCAGCAGTGCGAGGTGTGTCTCATCACTGTTTGTATGGGTCGAAGGCACCAATGTCGGCCCATTTAGTTGATGCATGGTAGGAAAACCCGGGGGTTAGCCCTATGCATTATGTATGAAAGACGATAAGGCAGCTCCTGGCACATTGTATGCTATTATGTATGGTAGGAAGACTCGTGGGTTAGCCCTAGGCATTATGTATGAAAGACCAGGAGGTGGCTCTTGGCACACTGTATGCTAATTGGCTAAGCAGAGTAATATGTATGCTAGTTGTCTTTATGATGTTTGCATGGAAGACTAGGAGGTGGCTCTTGGCACTTGTTTGTAAGACCGATGGGGTGGCCCCCGACTTGGCAAGAAAGACCACGTGGCGGCCCGTGGCATAATCGCAAGATTATGTTCATCACATAGCATCTTTATTGATTATGATATATGTATGGCTCATGGTTATGTATGATAGTATGTGATTTATGTGCTTATATGCTAGACAGCATCCGGTTGAAAGAGACCGAAGGGCTAGGCCAACACCTAGATATGTTAGATAAAATGTTAATATGTATGATATGTGGTATTTGGGGAACTCATTAAGCTTCATGCTTACGATTTTCAGTTTTGGTTTCATGTATTAGTTCTTCAAAAGGAAAGGAGCCGATATGGCCGCGTCACATTATGTTTTCTACACATTAGATCTTTGGGATTATACTTTGTTATTGTTTCATTATGACATGTTTTGATTATTGATATATTGATTTTGATATGGGATGACACTACAGATGATTTTATTCTTTTGGTTTTATAATAACTTAATTAAAAATAAAAATTTTAGTCTTTAATTTTGGAATGTTACATTATTAGATTGGTAGGTATGGATCAACTAATGTCATCGGGAGACAAACCTGATTATTTTCAACGACATTAAGGAGTTGGAAACACCACCCCGACCTAACACTTCGTGGAAATGCATGGTGGGCTCGTTGTAAGGCAACATCCCGTTCTCTTTTTCTTTCTGTATTTTTATTCCTTATTGTAGAGTTGTTTCAAATATAGTTTTTTTGACAGTGATTTGTTAATCAATTTTGTTTAAAAGAATGGTTTTTCAATATTTTAATGTGGTCTATAGCTTTCAACCAATAAAAAGCTAAATAAAAAAATTTGTTTAATCATTTTCATGAGTCTATATATCATCTTTATAATTTTTTAATATATTAAAACCTTAATAATTTTTTCCTATTATAAAGGTATTTTAACTTTTTAATTTCATTAAGACGACATGACATTTATTGGGGTGGCATAAAAATTAAAAACCTTAGCCAAAAAGTTTTGTTTAGTTGATAAAGCTTTTTAATTTAATTTCATTACTAATAAATTATTGTTTTCAAAATAATTCTTTATTTTAATAATTATTATTGAACAAAAAGAGTATGGATTTTAGCGAGTGTACATAAGTTCCCATGGATACCTGTGCATCATCACAAATCTCAATACAAGCTACAAACCCCACTTTGTGTTCTCTCTACTCTTTCCATCTCATCTTTTCTCATTTGCCGGCCACCGACACATCATCTTTCCGGCGAATTTCTCATCTATTGCCGCAGAACCGCCGCCCCACTACCATTTCGCTTATATTTCCATCTCTCCGGTTGAAACCAGAATCGACTTCTTTCAAATTCTCTTTGTCGGTAGATTCTAAAATCTGGTTGAGGATTGTAGAAAATTTCAATGCGCTTGTGAAATAAACGCTGTTTTTTTTTTTCTGTATAATTTTGTCCATAAATGGTTTCCTGAAAACCTAGTAATTATGTGCAATTAGATGAGAGAAAAAGCGGTGCATTTTGCAGAGAATTAATATCACCGAAAAACTTGCAAAACTTGCTTATTTCATGGTAGACAAGTCTGCCATTAAATTGTAGTTGGATCCGCCATAATTGCGTTCCCTACAAAATTCGGATCTCGATATTACATCTTATTCATATCGTTCCGGCGGCGACAATTTAGCGGTTATCTTCATCAATCCAGATCCTTCTTTTGGTACTAAAATAATCACTGTTTGAGTTGTGGATGTATGAGAGAGATGTGCAAGGTAGACGATAGAGATAAGATGAAGCAGAAGAAGAGATTTTCAATCGGAACAATGGGGTTGAAGAGCTTAGGAGTTTGTAGAGTTGAAAAGTTAAAAAGTTCAATGGTGAATGCTAGGTCTCCGAGAATGAAGCTGTGGTTAATTAGGGCAACGACGACTGTGTTGTTGTGGACATGCTTCGTTCAGCTTACAGCATTAGGGGGTACATGGGGACCTAGGGTTTTGAAAGGTTGGCCTTCTTGCTTTACTCAAGATTCACATTCTGCTTCTGCTTTAGATCTAAAGTTGTTGCCCACTGTTCCACCCAGAGTCCTTCCACCCAAGAGTGAGTTCTTTCTTCTTTCTTCTCTTCTCTTGTCTCTGTTTCTTCTTTTTTCTCATTATTTGCTGTTACAGCGATGATTGTACGATCGATTCAACATTTGTTTACATGTATTATACGTAATTATTTTTATCTATTGAGGATTCTCCAAATTCGCTACAGGGTGGGTTTAGATTTTTTCAATTACGATGATGAAAGAATCCCGTGAACAAATAACACACATGATTTTTATGTACTGTTCTTCAGTCATCAATTTGACATTTTCTTCTATGTAGGGGTCTACAAGAACAATGGTTACTTAGTGGTTTCATGTAACGGAGGACTCAATCAAATGCGTTCTGCTGTGAGTATTCTCTTCACACCTTTCAACTCACAAGATCAGATCAAATAACCCAATCACTATCTTAACAATTTGTTCATCAATCATACAGATTTGCGACATGGTTGCAATTGCTAGATATTTAAATGTTACACTTATAGTCCCCGAGCTTGATAAAACTTCTTTCTGGTCTGATCCAAGGTATATAAATTATATACTTAACATATAACATAATCCATCTTCCCTACATATTGGAATTCACATATCCCGATTCTAATTCTTCTGATTCTTGAAATTCAGTGAGTTTGAGGACATTTTTGATGTTGATCATTTCATCACATCATTAAGAGATGAAGTACGAATTCTTAAACAGCTTCCACCAAGGCTTAAAAAGAGGGTCGAATTGGGAATTGTGCACACCATGCCTCCTGTTAGCTGGTCTGATATTTCCTACTACCATAACCAGGTAATATCTTATCTTATTAACTCTGTAACTCTGTATTCTTTCTTTTAACTTTGTTACAATTTACTTATACTTTTATTCTCATTGTGTGTAGATTCTTCCATTGATTCAAAAATACAAAGTTGTGCATTTGAATAGAACAGATGCTCGTTTAGCCAACAACAATCAACCCTTAGAGCTCCAAAAGCTGAGGTGTCGAGTAAACTTTGGTGCTTTAAGATTCACAACTCAGATAGAAGAATTGGGAAAACGTGTAGTCAATCTTTTGAGAAAAAACGGACCTTTTTTAGTGCTTCATTTGAGATACGAAATGGACATGTTGGCTTTCTCTGGGTGTACACAAGGATGCAATAATGAAGAGATAGAAGAGTTAACACGAATGAGATATGCATACCCATGGTGGAAAGAAAAGATTATAAATTCTGATTTAAAAAGAAAAGACGGGTTATGCCCTTTGACACCTGAAGAAACTGCTCTTACACTTAGGGCACTTGATATTGATCGTGATATCCAGATTTACATAGCTGCTGGTGAAATATATGGAGGGAAAAGAAGAATGGATAGTCTTCAAGATGCATTCCCAAAACTGGTGAGTTTTTTTTTTTTTAAGAATCTTGAATTTTTTGCCTAGTTTTCAAGAAAATGTTTGAATATGAATTCGTATATGATGAATGTGTTTGTTAATTAATAGGTGAGAAAGGAGACACTTTTAGGGGCAGATGATCTTCAGTATTTTCAGAATCATTCTTCTCAAATGGCAGCATTGGATTATCTTGTGGCACTTGAGAGTGATATTTTTGTGCCTACTTATGATGGAAACATGGCTAAAGTTGTGGAAGGGCATCGAAGGTATGATGGAATGGAATCACAAAGGAATGGAATGGAATGGATGATTACATTCCATTGGGGTTGTGTTTTGGTTGGGTTGAAGGAATGGAATAAGAAATTGAATTTGATAAGTAATGAAAAAAATGTTATTTTGGAATAATAAACTTCAATCGTATTAAATAAATTACATATGAACATCTCATGTCCTCTAAAATATATATATTATATGTAGGGTTTTATGCAAAAAAAGTCTCAGAATTTTTTTGATAAAGTTCTAAAAGTTTTTTTTTAAACAGAAAAGTCATGATTATTTAACGTTTTACCCAAATTAACGAAAAAGTCTTTTTTTTTTAATAACATGAAATGATAGATTATGAGGCTTTTCTGTTTAAAAAAAACATTTAGGACTTTATCAAAGATTTTCCTAAAATAATGAGAGATTTTTCTGTATAAAACCCATTATATGTATTTCAAGTAGTTAATAACAAAACAAATTCTATGATTTAATAAAATTGTTGACAAAAAAATGTAAGATCACATACCATGAAATCTTGAAATAGAATTATAATATTAAAAAAATACTTCTACCTACTTTTGTAAAGTAAAAATTAATAAATCAAAGTTTTGAAATTTTTAAAAACACAAGTGGAAGTCTTATTAAAGAATATGTATAACTAAAACTAATTTATATTCCATTCCTTTGTTGCAAACAAAAACACTTATCTTGGAATTGAAATGAAGGCAATTAATTATGTGAAATGATTTTCAGATTTTTGGGATTCAAGAAGACAATTCTATTGGATAGAAGACTTTTGGTGGATTTAATAGACAAATACACAAATGGGCTTTTAAATTGGGATGAATTCTCCATTTCTGTGAAACAAGTGCATCAAGAACGAATGGGAAATCCCACAAGAAGATTGGTTATTTCAGATAAACCAAAGGAAGAAGATTACTTTTATGCAAATCCAGAAGAGTGTTTGCATTTGCACACATCAGAATCAGATGATGAAACGCTCAGCATCCTATGACAAGGCTTTCGGGGGTATTTTGGTAATTTTCCATGCCTGGCCCTCTGCTAACTGTTTTGAACTTTCAAGTAGAAGAAGAAGAAGAAGAAGAAGAAGAAGATTATATGATTCTGTGCCCTTGAGAGGATCTGTGAACAATGTGTGGATGCAAGGGGATAAGATGAAACACAGAGAGAGATGCATGAAGATGAGAGTGGTTACACGAACAGAAATGGTGTTTATTATTATTATTTATTATTATTATTATTATTATTATTATTATTATTGATGTGTTTTTTCAATACTTATGTTATTGTCAATAATTCATGTTTATGTATAGAAAAACGACCCTGATATTGCAGGGTTATATATATATTGTCGTATTTGAAACTATTACTATTGATAGTTTCATACATGTAGAGGTGTTTAATTCTTGTTGGCCAAATATATTATTAGTGGCATAACCAAGGATTTTTATGGAAAATGTGGGATTTGAGAGGATAATTTGAAGGGTAAAATGCAAAAAAATAATAATAACCTATTTTTATTTATTTGCTTACTATGTGTAAGACTCATGTATTACATGAGTTAATTAAAAAAAATTAATATAAAGATCTAAATATTTAAGAATTTTGGATTTCTAAAAAAATATAAAAAATAATGAATTATTAAAATTGATTTTTTTTTTATTTTTTAAATTTAAAAAATAAACAAAATAAACTAATGAGCTTTAATTTGAGAATTTTGAAATAAGAAAGTAATTTCATTAATGAAATTGATATTCATTTATTACTAAATTTATTGTAATTATTACATAAGTATTATGTGAAATTTATTAAATAGAAAAATTTATAAAATGACATGTGGAAAACAAATTAATTCAAAATAATCACAAAATAACATTTAACAAATTGAATGAGAGTATGACATGTGACAAAAAAACTTTCATTTATTAAAAATAGATTATAGCATCTTACCACTAATATGGAAATTTTTATAAAATTTAATGTTTCAAAACCTAACATGTCCAAAAATACTATTCTTCGATATTTACTTCCAAAACATGGATTTGGGGTGAGTCTTTACCTTTTTGTGGCATCTTATTTCAATTTATTTTAAAATACAATGCCTTATTAAAAAAAAAAAAAAAAAAAAAAGAAAGTAGAGTGTTATGAAATAAATGAAAGTGAGATGTTATGATACATATCATTCCATATAGTTGATGTGAAGGTGTGGAATTTGATAGTTTTCCATGATTAATATGACTTAACATTTTAATAATACATAAATATATAAAAGTATGTTCTTATTTTTAACATCTAGCCTTAATTTGAAAATGTGTGTTGTGCAAGAATAATAATTCAAGGATTTATTATAGTAATAGACTAATGATTGTTGAATATATTCTTTATGGATTGTTTAATCAATGGGCATTAGTGGACTACCAAATGAATGCATTTGGCCATTTGGGAATGATTGGAGACCACCAATACATTCTTTACAAAAATGGGCGGTATTAATCAAATCCAATTATATTTTTTTACATGATGATTAATGCCGTATATGGAAATGCAAGGTAGTTGACTTGGGACCTTGTAAAATCATAACAAAATTAAGATAAAATAATTTGCTAGAATTAAATCATATATTATATTAGAAGAAATATATAAGAAAAAAAAAAGAGCAATGGAGGAGAAAATGAAATTCCCAATCATGTGAGGGATGATTTGTAGCATAATCAATAAAGAAATGAGTTTGAAAAGCATGTATGTTAGTGGCTTCGATGTCAATTGTCAACCACACTTTGGATGTATTTCAATATATGCCAAATTTCAAACTTTTAATCTTTTATAATTTGAATTTAATTACATTTTCCTTTCGTTTTCTTTTATAACTATTTACGCAAGTTGAGTTAATGTTGTTTTATATGAGAATAAGATAGTTGTTTGGCTAAATGTTTCTATAAGTCCTCAAGTGTTCATTTACTTTATACCCTTATAAGCCATATTTAAGTGCAATTTTACTATGACCACAAAGTTGACAAAGTTGGCAATGATCAAAGTTACTATCAGTGGCAATCTTTTAGCATCCAATACTAGTGAATTACACATATGTAAAGGATGAGGCATGTTCATACTTACGCATTATCTCCAAGTTTCAAGTTTTATTGGTTTCGTGATTGTGAGGGGTTGATTGTGGCATGATTGATCAACATGGATTGTAATGAACTTCAAATTTACCACCGGACAAATGATCCATTAATTAAAGCATTGTCTTATTCATCATCCTCATTAGAATTAAATTCATAATGATGATCCACCATTTCATCATCCACGTTGTCCTTAGATTTCACATTGGTTTCCACTATTTTCACCTACATTACTATCAACTTCATGTCTACTACTTTTGCCCAAATCGTCTTCAAGACCCTCTCCAAAAATGTGCATACATGCACAAAAAACTTTTTTTTTTTAAATATATTTTTCAGCGAATTAACTCCTTAATATGCGAGTTAATGGCCGGTAAAGTCACAAAAAGATGTCTCTAGGTATTTTTTGTATTTAAAAAAAAAATCGGATCTTCATGAATCTTTCAGTTCTAAACAAATCTCACCCCCTCCCCCCCCCCCCTCTCTCCCTCCCTCCACACACACACACACATACACATACACACACACACACACACACATATATATATATATATATATATATATATATATATATATATATATATATATAAACAATAAATAGTGTGAGAACGTAAAAACAATATTTTTATGTTATTATTCTGCAATGAATTTTGTATCCACAACTTTATGTCATTATTTAACGATGAATAAATGAATAGTCAGAGATTAAAACTAAAATTAGAATTTACTACAAAAATACACATACATAAATTTATAATAGAATAATAACATTCGAATAAATATATGAATAATCAAACGTTAATTTTCATATTAGAATTACTTCAGCAATACACATATACAACATTCATTACAAAATAACAATATAAACATAATGTTTTTACGTTCTCACACTATTTATTGTTTTTATTTGAACTTACTTCTCTCTCTCTCTCTCTCTCTCTATATATATATATATATATATATATATATATATATATATATATATATATATATATATATATATATATATATATATATATATATATATATATATATATATATATCAGTGTTCTAAAAGGCGCGTCATGGCGTGAGGCGTGGCTTCACCGTTACGAAAAGCTTCATAACGTTGCTGTTAGACGTGACGCGTGGCAAGGCGTGATATGACGCGTTATGGCGTGTGTTTTTTTGTTTGAGACACAGTTTTTTGCTCTTTGTTATGTCTTCTCAAATTGGAGATACAAGTATTGTGTTTTTGTTAACTTTTTGTTATTAGTTATTGATCTAACACTTCTAAAAAGTAGTTATATTTAATATAAATTAATATTTATGTGATAATATAATTTTAAATTAATACAAATCGCTGTCTTACATTACACCTTGAAAAACATCATGGCTCGTTAAGCTTGAGGCTTGGCCTTGCCGCCACGCATCTCACGCTATTTAGAACTTTGATATATATATATATATATATATATATATATATATATATATATATATATATATATATATATATATATATATATATATATATATATATAAATGATATCTATTGTATAAATTATGGACTAATTTAAAAAAAAATAACTAGATTTTAGGCAACTTAGTCAAAATCCAAATTTTATGTGACTGATTAAAATAAATTAATTGATTTAATTAGTTAATTTACTAATATAAAAACTATTGATATATTATAAATAATTTTTATAAAATTAATGAACGAAAGTTCTAAATTTATGTTGAAACGTTGACCACCTTAAATTTATACGGACACATACATAAAGATAAACACATAAAAAATTAGTTTTTTTTTTAAATAATGAACGAAAAATATTATATGTGATCTGATTCATATGTAGGAAACGTACATAAAATTAAGCACGGAAACATAAAAAAATATATGTCGAACGTAGACAACTCAAATATAATATTTTTTTAAAATTAACGAACGAAAGTCATTATATGCAACCCGAATTATACGTAGGAAATGTATGTAAATTAAGCATGAAAACGTAAAAAAAAATACATTGAAATATAGACAAACTCAAATTTAAACTAGCAGGTGCATCAAGAAAAAGCAAACATGTTTTTTTTTTTTTTTTTAAAATTAATAACAAAAAATGTAAACTCACATCGAAATGTTGATAACCTTGAATGTATACTGACACAAATATAAAAATAAGGACGTAAAAAATAGTTTCAAACTTCACCCTCTATAACCACTCCAAATACTCTAAGGTCCTTATCCAAGGTTAGAAAGCTCAAAAATCTTGCCATGCATTCCCCAAACCTTAGGGATCTGGAATCCCTCCTTTCCAGAGGAGTTTCTAGTCCTTAAAACGTTCCAAAGATGGAGATTTTATGAACATGCATGTCTTTAGGTCAAAATGGCCAAAAAGGGGAAATTGTGCTCTAAAACGGTTGCATGACTTCCTTGTTTGATCAAAAGCTAAATCTAGCCAACCTTGGGACTATTTTGCCCTGGAGATTCATAAAATTGCAAACTTTATGAACCCCATGCATGCAATCAATGGAAATGAGATAAATGAAGAGTAAACTCAAGACCTAGCCATGTCCTAAGATAAAAATCAAATCTTGGGGGCTTACCACAGTCCACAAAGTGGTCAAGTTCAAGAATGAGGGTTTAGTTTGTTGGATCTTCTTCTTCTTCTTCTCACTATCTCATTCTTCTTAAACTTCACAAGGCACTCTAACTCGAAAAATGATAGAGAATGGGGATTAGGGTTTAGCACAGACATTCCTGCGGTTTGGAGGTTGATAGAAGGTTAGCCTCAAGGTCCTTAAGGAGATTATATAGGGTACAAACCCTGAATTTAGAGTTTTCTCTCTTCAGCTCCTACTCGCCGAGTCAATACTTTTGACTCGTCGAGTAGGTCTTGAC